TTCTTTTGGCAGAAACCCGTATCCTCTAGAATGGCCACAGTTTTTTCTTTCTTTAAAATAAATTCGAATATGGAGTCCCAGATCTCCATAGGTATTTATAAAACTGAAGGATTGCACCAGTACATCCTAATTCAAGGCTTTTCAAATTCATGCATGCGTTCCTCTCCTCGATGCACTGTGATGAATCTTTTGCAAAATTAGTCTTTGAATCTCCCCAGAATATGTTGATTAACACCAATTAACCGTCTGTCCCCATGTCTGTAATTTCAAGAAGTAATTACACGTAATTATTGGCAATTATAGACTGCCAATAAGGCATCATACATATGCTATTCTCTCTAAAATTCTAAGCATTCCTCTGCTTATCGGAACAACAGGCACAAAGCCATGGCAGGGATTCACTGCATAGTCCTGTGCCTGTTTCTTCAGCAGCCAAACCCACTGAGTTCAGGAGGGCTTGTAGCTAAATAAATGGATACAGGATTGTGGACCCTTTTACTTTAACCTCCAATCAAATAGGCTCGAGTGATTACTGGGTAAGTGAGGCACTGGCTTGAGGTGGTGGGTGGGGTACTTAAGGGCACAGCAGCCACCACCACCCAGTTGCCTCGATGCCACCCTCTAATGATACTTACAAGGTGTGGCAGGGGCCAAAAAAGGATGCTGGTGGTGGCAGTGGTGGGAACAGCAGGTTGTTTAGACTCATCACTGGGTACCTTGTCACCTTCAGAGCGTAGCATAGCTAGCCGTTTGTCTATGGCCTAGGGCTGCCAGACGTCAGGCAAGAGGACGTGTCGTCCTTTTTAGCCTAATGTCCTCCGTCTGTCAGGCAAAGATAAAAACCTTTAAAATGTCAGGCTTTTGTGTATTTAATGTTATAATTTTGAATGGGAGGGGGAGAGGTGGAAGGACCCCCCTCCCGCTGTCTTTTCCCCTCCCCCACCTGCCTGCCTGCCCCCCCCACTGGCGGCACTGGAGAGCAGCCCTCCCCTCCTCCGACTGCAGCTGCTTGGCGATCCGCCATGCCCGTCCAGCCCATTTGGAGCCCAGAAAGGCAGCATGAGTGGAGTGCCCTCCACTGAGCCAGCCAGGAGCAAGCAGTGCCCGAGCGCATTGATGGGAAGGCCAGCTGTGTGTGTTCAAAGTCCCTTTCAGGGACTCCAACTCCCACACTCCCCAGCCTGGAACTTATGACCCTTGGGGGAGGGGAGGCTGCCTCATTCAGTTTTGCCTGGCACCGCTTTCCCCCCGCCTGCACTGGAGCCTTGTTTGGGCGTTCAGATTAGCAAAGTTGCCTCTGAGCCTGTGCAGAGTGTGAGCGGCGGGGGGATCCCGCAGCCAGGCCGGGGTGGGTTCAGGTTAATTTGCTTTGTTCCCAGTCAGAAATACAATTTGAAGAATATTACCTGTGAACAGTTTTATGCATATGTGATTGCTAATGAAGATCTTCTGCAAAAAGTTGGCTCCTCTGAGAAATATATCATGTAATTAATAAATATTATAAGGTAATAATTGTACAACTGGCTGTGTATATAATGTTTTTGGTATTTTGAAACAAAACCTCAATTGAATTTATTTTTATTTTTTAAAATGACTGTTTCTTGGTCAGTTCACTAAAACATTTATTGACAGCGATTGTAATGAAAATGTATTGATTGCGGGTTTAATCCGGAACAGTTTGAACGAAACATTCAATACCTCCTCCTCTGTTGTCTTTTTTGTCTTTCTATCTCCTCCTTTTGGTACCCAGCTATCTGGCAACCCTACTATGGCCTGGGTCTTCAGGCCCAAGGCACAGGATGTGTACACTTTTCAACATTTGTTTTTCATATAAATATGTATCAATAACAGCAATGTCTCATAGCTTTCCATGAGGTTACGTGAACCAAAGGACTGGGTTTAGTATGTAATTAATTTTGCTAACCTCTTCTAAATGTCCAGGATCTTGGTAACAAGTTTAACATATGAAGAAGAAGCTTAAACTGATCCTGTCATAAATGAGAGATGGGGAAATCTGTCATCTTCTAGTGCCAATTTCCATTATTTCTTACCATTAGCTAGGTTGGCTATTTCTTATCATTGGCTACATTGGTTATTCCTAATCATTGGACAAGGTCTGGTGGGAGATGCAGTTCAAGGGCAGCTGGAGGTTCATGTGTCCCCCATTCCTGGCATAAACGAACATTGTCATAAACATAATCTAATTTATTTTCAAATTATTTGTTTTATTGCCTCATTCAGCTAATCTTGGCCGTCATTTCTAAACCCAGTAAACCTAGACTCTGGTGCACATCTGGTGGCTGAGGATTATGCCACATAATCCTCAGGCCCACATTTCCCCCCCTTCCCCACACCTCAGGGGGTGAAATTTTGACACTTTTGAACCACAAGAAAACCTCAGGGGGTGAAATTTTGACACTTTTGTTCATTGAACCAAAATTTCCGATTTTAGACAAACACAAGAATGAGTGTATTCGTGAAGGCTTTCACGGCTGGGATCTAATGGTTGTTGTGGGTTTTTCGGGCTATTTGGCTGTCTTCTGAAGGTTGTTCTTCCTAACATTTCGCCAGTCTCTGTGGCTGGCATCTTCAGAGGATAGCACTCTGTGCTCTGGTGTAGTTGGCTTGGGAGTGGAGTATTAATGGCTGTGAGATAGGCTTTTGTCTTTTTCTGTAAAAGGGTGATTAGTGTGTCTTGTGATAAGGAGGAGAGATTATCTGTCACTGTGACTGATGGATGTCATTGGCTGGTCTTTTGTGTGTAGTGATCCCCAGTCCTTGTGGCTTGGTGGAGTTCGTTGACCTTTTGCACTCTGTATTTTTGAGAGCTGGGAGCCAAGCTTTGTTGAGTTTCAAACTTTCCTCTTTTTTGTTGAAGTTCTGCTGGTGCTTGTGGATTTCAATGGTTTCCCTGTGCAGTCTGATGGAATGATTGCTGGTGCTCCAATATGTGGATGACAATTGCTCCTTTATTCGCAATTTGGAACCATGGTGAAGAAAAATTGGAAGAATTTCTCAACTTTGTACAATAAAGAAGGCCCAGGAGAGTTTGACTGTTTTTGATATCCAGTTACTCATGGAGTTGGCCTTCTCAGTGGCTGTCCTAGGCTGTGGAACTCCCTGCCAAAGGAGGGCCGTTTGTTCCCCTCTCTGTTGTTCTTAGACCAGCAGGCAAAGACCTTTCTTTTCAGGCACACTTCTGGCAAGAGAAGACATTGCTTAGGAAAGAGCTTTTTCTTGGGAGATGCTCAACTTTTTAATTATGTGTGTTTAAACTATTTCAATTTGCATGGTAATATGTTTATCAGAATATTAATATTGAAATTTATTGCCTTTTTAGCCATATATGTTTTTAGGGAGTCTTGTGGCACAGTGGTTAAACTGCTGTTCTGCAGTGAAGACTCTGCTCATGACCAGAGTTCGACCCTGTGTTCTGGTAGCCAGCTTGTGGCTGACTCACTCTTCCATCCTTCTGAGGACAGTAAATTGAGTACCCAGCTTGCTGATGGATTGGGGAGGATGTGTAGCTTGCATAATTGAATTGTAAACTGCCCAGAGACCACTTCAAGCATTTTGCTTTTCACGTTGCTTTTAGAATTTGTAAGCCGTCTTGTACTGAAAGACAGTATAGAAATAAGGGTAAATAAATATGTAATACATAAAATGTTTATTTCCCAAATTTAGGCAAAGTTGGGAAATGGCATTCCCCCTCCCCCACGAATGTGAATGGTTCAAATTTCCTTCTTTTAGAAGGTAAAGTGTTCTCCACAAAGGAGAGAATGACCATGATCCTGAGGCTTGCTTTACTAATTGCTCATCATATCTTTGGATGCAATCATTCTCTGAGTATGTTTTTTTTAAAAAAACAATTGTAATAACCTTTAAAGATGATGTTTGCAAATCAGATCTCATTAAGACCCATCAACCCGGTGATACCTTTCGAATAATTGATTTTCTAAATGGAACTCATGGTAAGTAACTGGATAAGTGAAACAAGAGGTCACAAGAAGATTGTAGACTGACTGACTGAAATGTTACCATGATCCAATGAAAAGGAAATGAGCATAGAATTCACGGAGTGTTACCAGCGCCTTTATTTGCATGGGCAGCTTTCTGCACATCACCCTTTAGCATGGACTGATCTATATACAGTGGTGCCTCGCAAGACAAATGCCTCGTGGTATGAAAAACCCGCAAGATGATTGTTTTTTGCGATTGCTATGGTGCCTCGCAAGATGGTTTCTTCTATGACCATGCTTCACAAGATGGGTTTTTTTCTCTCGAGACTGATGCCTCGCAAGACGAATACATTTCATTCGTCTTGCAGACTGCTTCTTGCGGAACGAATTACATTCATCTTGCGAGGCACAACTGTACTTGCTCTGAATTATACTGGGAACCCCATGCTTGTGAAAAATCTGTGTGCATGTTAAAATGACCAGGCATTGGAATGGTTACATTTCAACTACGGCTCCCAGAAATGGCGTCAGACCACAATGGCTGGGGGATTCTGCGAGCTTTATTCCAAAAGGCAGTGTTTCCAAGGATGATGGCAGAAACTGTAGACGGAAAGAGCTGAGCGTCAAATGTCTTGAAAGGAAACAAAATATATAAATCTTAATGAAATCAGAGTGAAGTGGAGAGAATATAAGCATTTTGCATGTGAGCAAATAAACTCCAGTCACTCAAGCTGAGAAAGACTTCTTTTTAATACACAGATTTCTTTTCTTTATCGTTCTTTATTTTTTTTGGGTGGGGGGGAATCATAGTCATCACATTCTCCTTAAGCACAACAAAACGTTCCTAGCTGCGCTATGGATACGTCTGTATTTGACATTTCATTCCAAGTCTCTGTTTTTCAATAAGCGATATTCTCTGTTCCCTCAGGGTTATGAACACATTGTTCCAAAGGCCTGGAGCTGGAGCAGGCCCAAAGTCCTGGCTACTGAAGTCCTCCTGAAGAATCAGGAGGACCTCCACACCTGCGTGTTTTTTTTAAAAAAAAATCCCACAATTTGCATTTTGTCATCTATTCCAACAAACATTTGTTCTAATAGAATCCTCAAACTCTCTAGAGAACCATGCACAGGTGGTATAAGTTGGCAAGTTACTACCTAGCTGGGGACTACTGAAACCCGTTTTACATCCATGTAAGTGAAAAGTATAACCAAAAATAAAAAAAACCCAATAATTTCCTTCTTTCCCACTGTCTCATTTTGGAAATGATATAGAAGATATCTTGATGTCAGTCTCCCAATTGTTTAAAGCATACAGAGAAAAGAGAGAGAGAGAAAGAACTCACATCCACCATAGCACACAATACATTTTTAGCCCTATGTATATAAACTACCCATGTTGAAGCTTTTGTTGATTTGTTCTGCTTCCAAAGAATGGACTCTGTTCTACACTGACGATAGGCCCTTCAAACTGCCTTCATAATGGGTCTGAAGTGATTATCTCCCGTGGGTAGACATGATTAGGATGTATTCATTTGATTACGCATTTCAGAAGGCAATGTTGAAGATACCTTGGTAATGAATAGCAGTTAAAAATGCCAGGAAACTAGATCACCAGAAAACAATTCTATACTCAATACAAGTTCATGCTGACATCACACCACTGCGTCATTTACAATAATTTTGGTTTATCTCCCCAAAAATTAGTTGAAGTTTTAATGACTTTGGCCCATTCTAAAAAGATGTAAATCTCCCTCTCAGATCATGTTTCTTTGACCAATATAGTTCAGTTATATATTTTCCCTGTATTGTTTCCATTTTGTTCCAGTGATAGGTGCTTGTTATCAGTTTTACAGAGTAACATAAAACGAAGGTGACCTTCAAAAGCAACCTGAAGAGCTAATGATTTCTTTTAGAAGTCCCTGCTTTTATTTTAAACTGCAGAAAGTAAAGATTTCCTGATTCAGAAGAAATCCAGTAACAAAAAATTATAAATAAATAAAGAGGGTTGAAGCTCTACTGATTTAGCTCTGGCCAAAAAGCACGATGGATGTCTCAGTGACTGCTAAGCACAGACATTCCTTAGAAACTATGAAATAGAAAAATATTTTCTCAGAACTCTCATTGATGGTTGCATTTATACAACAGTCATGAAAAATTATGCTTTCTTGCAGTCTGGTGGGAGAATGACCGAAGGGAAAAACGGGATAAAAATGAAAAACAACAAAAGGGGAAAGAGAATATGCTAGTAGCTAATGGCTGGTTATAGAAGTCAATGACAACTAAAAAAAAGGTGGGTGAACTGGATATTAAATGGGTGGTGACTACTTGTGGGAAGGAAGTAAATTTGTAACGATTACATGCTAAAATAAATTTGATCCCACCCTCCACCCCCCCAAAATAAAATGTGCAAAATATATTCACCATGCCAACAATAATGACTATTTATAGACTCTTTTGTCTATAGACCTTCTTACAGTTGCCTGCTTGCCAGGATGTTTGTTACAATAAAAAGCGCTTTAAGACCTACAACAGTGCAAAGTTGATGAAGTAATTACATTCTCCAACACTGTGCCCAGGCAACATGATTATGCTATGATACAGTTTTTGCTCTTTTGCCTTTTCCGGCTGTGTAACTGTCCTCGACCACCTAGTGTGGAAGACTTAGGCATGCTGTATGAACCATATTTGTGAAGGAGGTCTTCCCCAGCAACGTACTGGAGACGACTGGGTTGCGGGATTGGTTCCCCAAGGAAATAGCCTTCATTGTCAGATTCAGAGGAGGAGGAGCAGGTAGAACACCAATCGTATTCAGCAAAGTAGGGTCCCCATCTCTCCGTAAAGTGGTTTTGCAGAGCAAGATCTGATACGGTCCTTGGACACTGACCATACATATTTCTTCGTGCACCCTGTTCCATGGTCTCCCGACAACTTCTCTGCTGTAAGAACTGATCATAATCCTCCCTAGCTCGCAGAGAGGGTCTCTCTTTCAACTTATAGCTCTGTTCACTGGCAAGGTGAAGGGCATTGTCAGAACGAGAGCGCCTGGACCGCCGGGGTCTGTGGTGGCGATAACGGCGATCATCGTCTCGGAGATTAGTCCGTCTGGGTGTGCGCTCACTCATGGGAGGATGTCTGGCACTCTCTTGTCCAGCCAACTTATTTCCAGGCATCCCACCATCATAGTCAAAGCTTTGATGCATCCTTCCACGGGATGCTGTGTCTCTGTAACCAATGGGACTGGCAAGATCGTGAAGGTTGGTTTCCATATCTTGGTACTGCTGAACGGAAAGTAAGCTGCGGACAGACTCAGCACTTCTGAACTGGACAGATGAATTTAGTGTTCCCATATTACTCATCTTCTCTGAAACATTCATTCCAGAATCTTTGCTTAGATCGGGCATAGAAAATCGAGAGAGATGCTCTTGGCGTTTGGCACCACCATCTGCTGAGAGCCCTGTTGAGAAGAATGGAAAGGGGAAAGAGGGAATTAAATACAGAGATTTGTGCTGCATTTTCAGTTCATTTCTCAACTGTTATTGGACGATACTTGTCTGGGGTGGGCAATGGGTGGCTTCCAGGACTCCATATGCTGCCTCCCCTGCATTCCACAACATTTTTTTAAGAATGTCAAGAGTTAGCTCAAAGCCCCACAAACTCCTTTGTAGCTTCTAGAACGCATGGGTGTGATTTTGCTATCTTTTGAAGGACCCCCAGCACCTCAGGGTCTCTTTACAACCTAAAATTATTTTTTGTTTGTTTTTTTTAAATCATATTGGCCACTAGAGGGTGTCAGGAGGCTTTCTGAGTAAACCTCATTTTTGTAAGCAGAAATATTAGGATGTGGGGGTTGCGGCAGCAGGGGTTGGATAGACACTTATGGCTCCTGGACCTCTGCAAGCTGCCCATCACTGGTGTTTGAACATATCTGAACTTTGTCTGCAGTTATGGTCCTCTATTCTATAATGAAATGTTTTGTGTATATAAGACATTCACTATTGCTTGGTGTGCTTCTTTTGAAACAACCTAGACAAGGCTCCTTGAAATGGGGTCTCTCTAGATATTTTTAACTACATTTTCCATTGCCCTTGATCATTAGCCATCCAAGATATCTGGTATGGTCAGCTTGCAAAAGGCTATCCAGTTGCTCTAAGCACACCTTCTAGGAAGGGAAGCAGACTTTCCTCACAATGGACCAAATTACAGATCCTCCATCATTCGAATGTGAAATTCATTAGTGTTCCAGGCAAACAATGCTGTTTACCTTTCACACTGGAGAAATCAGACTTCCAAGAAGTGTTTACACCCTGAAGACTCATCACAAAACAAACAAGCTGATTTGCAAACTGCAGAAAATGTGACAAGCTCTTGCTATGTGAGTCAGATGTTTCTGACATTTAAGGAATTCTCCCTTCCAATCATGGGCTATCTGTAACACATAGATTGGCCATCAATCACTTTAGTCCTTACTAATCACCATTCCATCTTACTGGCTGTTCTCAGAGAAGCTGTATTTCCCACTCTGATATCTGTTTTCATACTCATCACTTATGACTCGTGTGTACCATTTGCTGAAAAAAAATTGAACTACTTTTTTAAAAAAAAACATAAAGAAGTTTTAAAACAAAAGAAATGGAACCCTTATACAGTCAGCCTACCTGAAGCCAAATTCCACACCATGGCAGAAAAGCCTTTCTGAACTTGAATATAAGTATATATGCCTTTATATACATTGGCTCACTGTTTTTCCTTCACACATATATGTCATGAAAAAGAATAAAAGGCTTAAAATCATTGCACCCATGTGCAATTTAAATATGGCATATGATAAGTACAGGGGCCCAAGGTGGCTTACAAACGGTTAAAACCATATACGGCAAGAAACACAGCAATGCAAGAACGTCTATATGGCAATCTGAAGTTTAAGAAATATTTCACCTATTTTGTTTCAGCTCAATTAGATAGAAAAACTTTTCATCAGAGGCAAAATGAGAATAAATAAGAGATTTACAGAAAGAGGATCAGAAAGAGATAAAAACACTGCAAAAATTAATAGTAATTACAGTTTCTTCAATCTGCCTGCCTCTTTTTTGAAAGGTTTATTGGGGGGAGGAGGGAATGTAGGATCCTATAGGAATTTTAAACCATCTAATCCACTAAAAAAATATACAATACATACCCTATATGTAATCAGAGTTGTCTGAGTGATTAATGATTGAAAAGAGAAACATGAAAATACTAGAACAGGTGGGAGTGTTAACATATGTCTGCATGTGACACATGATCACAGGAAGCATGAAGGCACTTTGTGTGTAAGTGTGTGTATCTCGTATCTCTCTGTTCACAGTTCTGTCAAAGTTGTCAGGGGGCTTGCAGTTCTTACGCTTTTGGGGGAAATATGCTTAAGGGAGAAGAAAACCGTAGTGGGAAGTCTCTAAGGCTTTAATCCTGGACCCCAACAGAGGATCACTCCCACAGCACTCAGTGGGGCTTACGCCTCAATGGACATGTTAGAACTGTACGACAAATCTCAAGATTTTCCTCCAATATTGTGGTAAGCTTGTCCTTGTCCAAAAAGGTTGGGGTAATGACTGCTCAGGACATGTATTTTGTGGGAATGGTAATTACCAGTGCATCTGGGTTGCATTGTCACTGCTGCCATATGAAAGCTGTAAGTAGTAATTGAGATGTTGGTTTACTCAGGCTAAGAATCTAATCCAATTCTTCAAAAAACCTCAGGTTTACGAATGTGGGATATTGTGCTTCTGTGTCCATGATTCAGAGTGCCAGGAAAAGGCTCGATATTGCTGCACATGTGCTGCTCATGTTGCCAGCAGGAAAAAAGAGAGATTACTTACCTGTAACTCTGTTTCTTCAAGTGGTCATCTGTGAATTCACACTAATGGGTTCATCTGCGCCTGCGCAGAGATCTCCGGAATATTCTAGAGCTCAAACACGCGTTTGCCAGGACCGGCACCCTAACACATGTGGTCCGCCAGTCCTGGCGATTGCCTCAATTCCCAAGCAGCCCGCTGTATAAAATAAACAGACGTGACGGACAGAGGGGAGGACGGGGGGAGAAGTATGAATTCACAGATGACCACTCGGAGGAGCAGAGTTACAGGTAAGTAACCTCTCTTCTTCGTGGTCTCTGTGAATGCACACAAATGGGTGATTAGCAAGCATACCTTACAGGAGGAGGGACATCACGGAACAACAAAAGATAAAACTGCTCGTCCGAAGGCAACATCCAACTTGGCCTGCACATCCAATCGATAGTGGGATACAAAAGTTGTCGGAGTAGACCAAGCCTTAAGCTACTACTTGTTTCACTCTAACCATGTGTGTTAGGGGATGACTACTGAAATAGCATCCTTCGAGAAGAGCAATTGAATCTCTTGTTCCAGGACATTTGATGATCTGGTTAGGACTACCCTGGGTGGTGGGAGGGACAGAAACTGTATTTCGTAACCCATGGACATTATAGACAGGACCCACGAATTGGTGGTGATGGATGCCCAAGTCCGTCTTCTCATCGAATAGACTGACGCCATCAAAAGTTAAGCCCTCAATACGCATACGAGAGTCATCGGAGATGTGTGCTGAGCGGAGCCAAGCATGTCTCCATAGGGCTATAGCAGTGGCCATACGTCTAGAAGCTTGTTTCATGAATTTTTTACAGAAGCAGCAAGTAATCGGTTGGTGAGCTTCCCCCAATCAAAACAAACAAGAATCGTGGCTGTCTGCAAGACAGCAGTTTGTTAGGGCAAGAAATGCACCTCTTAAATGGTCCTGCGGGGACCATAAAGGGCGGGAAAGGGGGAAAGGGGTGGGAGTGGGGTTATGAAAAAATGGGATCAAGTCTCTACAAATAAAAATGGGATCAAGTCTCTTACAAATCTGACGTATTAAAGTCTATTCTTCTATAGAATCAATTTGTTTTGTCATTTATTTCTCTAGAGAAAAGAACCAAAAAGCACAAATGGAGAGCTTGTCAAGAGATGAGACCTCAGAGGCGGCAAAAAGGAACTGAGGCAATCACCAGGACGGGCAGACCACGTGTGCTAGGGGGCGGTCCTGGCGAATGGGTGTTTGAGCTCTAGAATATTCTGGAGATCTCTGCGCAGGTGCAGATTAACCCATTAGTGTGCATTCAGAGACCACGAAGAAGAAGGGTGCTAAGCTTTATATAGCAAAGGGCAGCCTGAATGTTGACAACGCCAATGGCAGCTGTCAAGATGGTCTACAGCTGTGGTCCCCAACCTTGGGCCCCCAGATGTTCTTGTACTACAACTCCCAGAAGCCTTCACCACCACTTCTGCTGGACAGGATTTCACGGAGTTAAAGTCCAAGAACTTCTGGAGACCCAAGGTTGGGGACCACTAGTCTACAGCCTAAGTTCCCAACCTTTGTTACTCGGATGTTTTTGAACTGCAACTCCCAGAAACCCCAGCCAGCACAGTTGGTGGTGAAGGCTTCTGGGAGTTGCAGTCCACAACTCCTGAGTAAGCCAAGGTTGGGGGCCACTGGTCTACAGGATACATTCTTCTGCTCACTACTATTCACAAAGTGATATCACACAGGGGAAGATCCCAGAAGCTGATGCCTTTTATCAGTTAACCACTTCTCACTCAAACACAAAGCAATTGTCAGGGCTCTTATACAACAAGTATGAATGGTAGTGAGCCTGAATCCTATTGATGTTCACACAAGGTTTGCATAATTTTCCAGTTAATTATTGCTGATAGATGACATATTGGGGTATGTCTTCGTTGTGTACCTGGTCATGCAACTAAATGGACAATTGCCCCAGCAGTTTGTCTATTAGCCACATTTTGAATTAGCAACTTAAAAACACCTGACAAGAATACTGCAGGTTCCTAGCCCATAAATTTAGAAAGAGGCTTGGGTTTTTATCTATTATATTCCAGATTTTTAAGAAGTATTACAAATGTTACATCCATATAACTGGAATACAGAAACTAAAGGAGACCCTCAGAACCATTTTATCTTTGCTTCTTGAGGCTAAACAAACTACCTCCTGTTGCAAAAGGAATACTGACTGGTTAAATTGAATTATTTGAATGAAGACATGTATACCCTGTCTCCCGGCACCAACAGAACACATTCAGAAAGCCATACAATTGTCTAATGGGATGTGGAGTAAAGGAACCCTCTACCATCAATAGAAAGGAAAATTAAAAAAATTAAAACTAAAAGACACAAAGCAGCAGATAATACTGACCAAGTAATGGGAAGGAAAAATGATTTTTTTTGGGAAAATGTTCACAAAAATGATTTGAATCCATAACAGACTGAAGATTGGTCATAACAAAAAGGTATTTTGTCTTTTCTAGAAGAAGCCAAGTGGATGTTTCATTCAAAAGACTACACATAGCAACTAAGAACACTGTATCATGTGTTTCCAACCAAAGAGCATTAAATATTAGACAATGA